AAATAAAGCAAACAGCTGCAACAGCGCTGTGCCCGCAGACTCAGCAAGACCCACAGCATAAGGGCAGAAGGTAACTTTTCCATTCAATAAAAGGCTGACACCATGTGTTGTATCTTTGAATCTTTAAATCTTTGAACTTCTAATTTGCAGAGGTGACTGGACTATCTCCTCCATCTCACTCTCCTGTGCTAGGAAGTGTCCCCTCACCAGTGACAAATTCTCCAAGTCTTGACCGAATTGGTGCAGTCTTGGTTCTTCCAGTGGGCTGGAGGGGAATTTGCCCCCATCTCTTTTTGTTCAGGTACTCTATACTCACTATCGATAATGGAATTAGACATCGAGAAATAATTTTCCTCAGTGCAAGGCTTCAATGCAGCCTTGCAACATCATTTTCAGCCACAAAAAGGATTACAGCAAGTTAAATGGCACCTCCATCTCTCCATACCTTTTCTATGTCATGCAAGTCCAGCATTACTGGAAGAAAGAGTCTGAAAGAATAAGGGGGGGGGGGGCGCTGACAGAGGAAAAGCAATGGCTTCAGATGTTTCAGTTATACATTTTAAAGCGGAGAAGAAGCAGTGCAGTTCCTCCTGGGAACAGCTGATGGGTCAGGGCACAGACGCCCCTGCCTTGTGCCAGGGACGAAGATTTTTCCTGCCTCTTCCAGCACAAAGAAAATGCATTTCAAGCACCAGCAGTGCTGGTTAGGGTCCCATCTGCCAGAGCAAAGGGGTTCTGGAAGAGGGAAGGTCAGTGTGCAGAAGAGCAGAGCAATCCCCCACTGCATGGCAGTGCCTGTCCCATTGATGGGAGGTCCATCCCTGCCCACCCGGGCGGTCCAGGGCAGATCTTTGCTCTGGACGACCCACCTGGGTTTTGCTTGTGGCCACCAGATCAGCAAATCATCAGGATCATACAGCTCATGGCACTTAGTAATCATGTGGATTGGCAGCCTGCGCATTTCCCAAAGTTTGGGGTTTTCTTTTCCCTTTAAAAAAGCCAAAAAACATCAGCCTGCCTGTGAACAAGCCAGTCATGCAAAAGCCACAGAGCAGCCACAGGAGAAACGGTAGGAAGACAACAGGAAAAATGTCTCCTGACGTTACAGAAGGATGTAGGGATCTCCACGAAGGTCCCCACTGCTTCCCCGAATTCAGCATTCCCACCAAAACCAGAGGAAGAGCAGTAGAAAGCAGCAGAAAAAAAAATCTCCTTGCCTGCACAAGAAAATCAGTTGTGGAGAGAAAAGGCCATTTTGGGGGGAAAAAAATATCGCTGTCTGGAAATTTGGGGTGGAATCTACTCAAGAGCACTTGAGCAGCTCAGGTCCGGCCGTGTGCCCCGTGTCTGCAGTGGGATCGCACAGCTGGGGGCTGGCGCGCAGCCGTGCCGACACACAATTCTGGGATTCAGAGCTAAATTCTTGAGATAAGTCTTTTCCAGGAATGTCTGACAGCGCAAACGAAGCAAAGATTGCAACATTTTTTCCATAGTTGTCGACCTCTTGAAAAAAAAAAAGTCATTATCTAACAAGCAAATGCAGAAATCAAAGCAACAAGCAGGCAGTTGTAAAAGGCAAAGAAGTGGGCATCTGCCCCCGACCTGGCGTTTCCTCCTCCCTCCCAGCGCTTGCTCCCATCAGGACCACTCAGCCCTCACATACCCAGGGGGTTCAAGCCGTGCCAAGACGCATTTGGGAGGTGTGAGGGGTCCAAGCCGTGCCAAGAGGCATTTGGGAGGTGTGAGTTCAGCCTCCACTGAGGCCAGCTCCATCCTGTGCCCGAGGTCTGCTAATGTCCCAGGGAGCCATGGTCTGACAGTCCTCCTGCAGTCAACCCTTGAGTTGTTTTGCTGCTTATTCCACCCCCATGGGGTAATCTATAAGGTTAGGAGCACGGTCCCAAACCTGCCCCAGCGTTAAACACAAGCAAATCTTGCTGGCACCTGGTTGTAGCAAGTTCAGCTTCTTGTTGGGCATCCACGTATGGGTCATGTAAACAAAAGGGTCCCTGGGTGGCAGGACAGCAGGCGAGAGGAGGTTCATCCATCCTCACCATGCTGAGACCAAGGGGAGCATCTCAGCACAACAAACCCACCGCTCTGGTGCTACGGCAAAGCCCCCACCCATGCTGAAAACAGGAGACCCAACCCTACCTGATTCCACATATTCCGAGTACTGAGTACCACTCCTTTTCAAAAAGAGAAGAAAAAATAACTGCACTACAGCGGCTGCTGCGATGGCCGGAAGAAAAACTGCCTCTATGTAAAGATCGAATTCTGCCAAAATTCCCGAATGAGGATTTCTTGCTCTTAGCCCAGAGCAGACCTTGGCACTCTGTGATTAACCGTTAAGCACCGTCCTTGGCACAGGCACAGAGAAACAAATTCTTAAGGCTTTCTACAACCCAGTGTAGCATGCACAGCCTGTGTTTTGAGAGAAATTTAAATGAGAACGGTTTGTGGTATTTGGTATAGGATCTTTCATATTTTTGAAAGTAAGCATATTCCTAGCAAAGAGAGTTTGAGGAGAATAACAAGGACCAGGCAGGGGATGAGCATAAGCCTTGGAGCTGGCCCTGCCACAGCATCCTTTCCCCATGTCCCCGCTATCACTCCAAATAGTGGCCAACTGCAGCTCCCCTGGCAGCGTAGGGGCAGTGGGACCAAGGGGCTCGGAGACGGGCAGCAGGGAGGGAGGGTGCAGGGATCCACCGGGAATGACGCTGCGTGATATTTTTATTCTGTTTTTACAAACAGATTTTAAAAGCCTTGCGTAAGCCTAGCAAATATCTTTTGATTTTGTGTTCCTACAGCACCGGTGAGCTCTGGATCCTGCATCCAGGATCCCACCAGATGAAGACTGGTCCTCAGCAGCACTGCTCCCACACCCCTGCCACGGCGTGGATGGGGCAGAAGCTTTTGCCCAAGCAAAACCCTCTTCTCCTGATGCCAGAGCAAGGCCTTCATATAAATAAGAGCTGGCAGAGAGCTCTTTAAGACCTGAGCACAACACACCTCTACGCAAAGAGCAGCCCACTGGGGCACCTTATCAACCAAACTCAGTTGCTCGACCGCATTTTTAGCAGGGCCATCTTGACTACAGCCCCTTTAATGTTAAAAAATCATCGCTGGAAGGGATCCGGAGGGAAGCCCCTGTTTGAGCAACTTCTGGGAACGGGGCAATATAGACTCACAACACCCAGCAGGACAGTCAGACATGGAGGAAACCATCCCAGCCGCATTTTGGACAAGCCCCTCTCAACACTGACAACTCCCCAACATACAGCATCCTGCAAACACCCAGAAAAAGCGGTGCAGGTTTGAAAAGCAAAAGATTTGGGGAGGCTTTACAGCCCTCAGCTCTGGGACTCTGGGGGGGCAATCGCTGCCTTTTATTTCAAAGCGCAAGGTCAGCAGTTTTGGAGCATGCATGAATGGCCGTGAAGCAGCCTGCCTACGCTGCAGATAGCCAGCACCGGCCAACTGCTGATGAAGGACATGGCTCCAGAAGGCTCCTCGGCTGGGATGGGATCCAACCGCTTCCTGGCCGGCCCGGACACCACCAGGCGTCAGCAGAGACCCGCAGCGGTGGCTTCGCTCCCACCAAAACCAGAGCCTGGGCCCCTGCAGGGAAACACGCCACTGATTTCAGCCCAGGGAAGATAAGAGCTTTGCATCCAGCGGGCTGGGGACTAGGGTGACCTGAACCTCCAAAAACTTCTGACAGTCTCCCATCACCATGAGACCCTTTGAAGTATTTAGTGCTCTCCACTGCAGTCATTCCTGCCTTGCCAAGACCACGTGGCATCAGTTTGCTCCTACTCCAGGACATTTCCAGGGTAGTATGACTGTGCTCCCAGTGACATTGGTATGATTCACAACTGGTTTCACTGGGGGTTACACCAGGAGAATCTGTTTCCACGGGAAAGCAAAAACCAGGCTAACGGAAAACAAACGCTGGACACAGCACTGCTGGCATTAGTCCCATCTTCTGGGGAAACTGAGGCACAGGCTTGCCTGACTCCCTGAGCACAGATTTCGTGTTACTGGTACCACTAGGTGCCCTGGAAACTCTGTGTAATGGCTTCTTAGCAAGCACTCCTCCCGTGCTGACCTCAGCAAACAGCTCACTGGGTGATGTCACCCAGCGTGACATCAGCCTTCACCCAGCTTAGTCCAGAGGTAGATGTTCAGCCACCCCAGATGTGCAGGTGCCACAGGGGCCATTTCAGCAGCAGGACAAAGAAGGGCCCGAGCACTCAGCACATCCCACATGCAGTACTCGGCAGCACACCACAGGACGAGCGGTGTGCCCAAAAACTCAGCCTGTCACAGCAGCAAAAAGCAAGGCAGATCTCTAGACAGGGGACAGGGTGTCCTCCAGAGACACGCCAACCTCGGGGCTCCACATGCATCTTTAAAACACTCTCACAACCACAGCAAGAGGGACGTGTGCTGAAAATGGCCCGTCCACTCCCAGCACTGCAACAGCTGCCCAGCAAACCCTGCTCCAAGGGCTGCCCTGCATTTGTACATCCAAGTGTGATCAAAATGGGCTAATAAGAGGAGACTGCCAAAAAGCGCTTGAACCGGTCAGCTCTGCTGCAGCTGAGTGTGCCGAACCCCCTGCCACAGCGCCACTGGGAGCTGCCCCGCAGCTCGAGGGCAGCAGGGCAGAGCAATGGGCATTGGGTCTGGTACCCATGCAAAGCTGCATCGCAACTTCGGGGACTGCCAAGGGAATCCCCCCGCTGCTGGGCCAGCCCTGTGTCCCCCCACCAGGACACCGGGAATGCGGTGGAGTGCTGACCTTCCATGTGGGGACGGAGCAGATGAGGCAAGGGGAAGGGGTGGAAGGGAACAACTTGGGGGCAATGCAGGGAAAAGCAAGAGGGAACCACAAATATCCTATACAAGCAAATCTCCCTTGATTTCATAAGTCTGGGGAGAAGAATAAAAGCATGAGGCAGCAGCAGCCCTGATTCCTGGGGAGCACTCACCATTCGTGGATGATGTCAGGCAGTGGAAGACGCTACCGGAGGTGCAGTTCTGCCAGAGGTCCGCCGTGTGCCCGCCGTTCACCAGCCATTGCTGCAAAGAGACGCAGCCCTGTGAGCAGGGCCCTAGCAGGAGATGGCAGGCAGCTGCGTGCCCTCCCCCAGGGATTCGGCACTGAGACGCCCCAGTGCGTACTGGCACGCGTGTGCCCGGCCGGGCGCTCCCAGGCACACGCTTTTCTTTAGAAAGTGGTTTGGAAAGTAAATACTGGTATTTGCTTTTAGCTGCGTTCACCTCAACGGCAGAAAAACAGAAGCTCTTTATTCTCTTTAAGCATGGACCAAGTCCCACGGGGGACGCACACTTCCCTCCCCTCTGCCGTCCTCGCCTGGTGCCTGGCCGGGCTATTTGAATGCTTCCACGTGATTTCTAACGACTCGGAAGATTTTTGTAACGTCTTCTACTACTATTACCACGCCAAAAAAAAGAAGAAAAAAAAAAATACGAGAAAGAAGAACCTGGTGAAGCAAGCCTGGAACTCACCAGCTCCACATAACTGCTGCCTTGAAACCAAGTCAAACCTCTTCCTAAGTAGATGACGTGTTAACTGGGCTCTAGACCAAGGACAGTGCTGGGAACCCTCTGTGCAGCATCCAAGCCCTCAATCTTCCCCCTGCTTGCAAAGCTTAAGCCTTGAAAATTGCCCATCCAGGTTAGGAGACAGAGGCTGTGCCTAATTCACAGCCGCAAAGGAGCAGAGCTGGAGAGCAAAACTGCTGGTGCTGAGGAGCCGGTGCCCAAACCAGCCCCTTTTCAAGGGGTTTTGCTCAGACTGGCTGCATTGGTCCTGGGGGCTGAAGCCCGTTAGCAGGTGGAGCTCCTTTAGGAAAGGGGAGCGCAGTGTCACCCCCACAGAGGGTGTTTTGGGTGCTCTGAGGCTGCTCCCTGATGTGAACCAGCATGGGGATGATGAGGAGACGGGCTTCAACAACGCTCTCCTCTGCGCTAACGGGGATGCCCTGAGCATCCGCTACGGCACGCAACCCGGCGACCCATCAGTTACACCTGACTGCACAAATACGGGGAGAGCTTTCTGTGCAAAATGCTCCAAACCCCCGCTGTTAGCAAGACCTGCAAACGGCAAGTAAAGGTTCCCTGCTAAAAGCTAGGCTGGAAAATAAAAGCCAAATAAAAATAACACCTTCTGGTCTTGTCATGCCATGCCACGCCACCGGCCGCTCCCTGCCTCGCCGGTACCCCGGTGCCAGAGAAAAGTCCGTACTTACGCTAACGATGGTGGAGACGAAGAGGAGCACCAGCACGGTGACGTGGAGCACGATGATCCCCAGCAGCAAAAGCAGCATCTTGGCGGTGGTGAAGGGCAGAACTGGAGGGGGAGAGGGATGCTGCTGAGTGTGCCTGTCTCTGTGTGAAGCCCGGCCCCGGGGGCAGCAGGAGGCGCTCCGGGGGCGGCAGGAGCGCACCCGGCTCCGGGCGATGGTTGGGCAGCGCCCAGCTCCGGGGCTTCTTCCCTCCGGCCCCACCGACGGAGCGCGGGGGGGGTGTCCCTGCCTTCTGCCCAGACCCACACCCGGACACCCCCGTGGGGTTCCGCCGAGCCCTTTCCCCGAGCCTGCTCCCCCAAGTCCTCTCACCGAGGGGGCTTCCCGGGTCCCCTCCACTGGGGACCCCCGGGGGGGGGCTTCCCCGAGGGGGTCCCCCAGCCCGTCTCCTGCGCGGGGGGGGGGTCCCGATCCCTCTCCCCGGGGGAAGTGTGCGCTCCTCGGCACCCCCGGGGGAGGGGTCTATCCCGGCACATCTCACCCAAGAGGGCTACCCCGGCCCCTCTCCGCCGCCAGGGGGGTTCCCCTGCCCACCTACCCATGGGACCACCGGGGATGACTCTGTCGGCCCCTCTCCCCATGGGAGCTTTCCCCGGCCCATCTCCCCTGGCGACCCCCGATTGGGGGTGGGGGGCGTCTAACTCGGCCCAGCTCACCCGACGGAGCTACCTCGGCCCCTTTTCTCCGGGGGTCTCCTCGACCCATCTCCCCTCGGCACCCCCAGCAAAGGCTCTCTTGGACCCTCTCCCCCGGGGAGGGCGGGGGGGGGGGGTGTGTTTGTGTGCTGCTTTCCCCAGCCCATCTCCCCTCGGGACTCCCAGAGAAGGAGGGAGGGGTTGCCCTGAACCCCTTCTCCCCAGAGGACCCCTGGAGCGGTGCTGGTGGTGGTGGCGGGGGGGGTGTCCCCCATCCCTCTCCCCTGCGGACCGCCGGAGGGTCTCTCCGGCCCCTCGCCCCGTGGGGGTGGCTGCTCCTCTCCCCGGGAGAGCGCTCAGCAGCGGCGGCCCCCCACCGCCCCCCTCCCTCCTTCTTCCCTCCCTCCCCAGCCGGGCTGGCGGCCCGGCCCG